CCAGTATAAGTTCGATATCCTCTGCAAACCTTCGAGATACTTGATTGATCAATCCCAGTTATGCGTTGTGCTTCAATTAAGGATGGAAATTCTCGAAAAGACCCATCATCAAAAATCTGCTTGACAGCACGTTGACGCATCCAACCATCCTGAGGCCTGAGACGCACTGCATGTTGTAAATTGTCTTTTGGTGTATACCATTCGAGATTAGATGCTTTGTTATTGGTGGAATCGCCATCAATGTGGTTTACAAATTCTTTGCCTTCTTCTTTTGGACAGAACGCTAAAGCCACCAAACGATGAACACGATATTTGTGAACATGACCAATTCGGTAATAGCCAGCATACAAAGATCCCTGGGTGATTACGCCATTTGGAAGCTGAATTCTGCCTAAGGATGAAACTCTAAACTTTCGCGAATCAATCTCTATTTCTTTCCATTCTTCATTGGAATCTGGTTCTATGTAATTTTCATAATATGTCCAGCACCAACCGCCAGCAGTATCTCGTTTTCTGTTACAACATTCCGAAATTTTATTTTCAAGAACTTTAAGAGTATTACCAGCAAGGCGAATAGAATTCCAAATCCGAATAACATTTCCATCTAATGTTTTCTGCACGATACTCCTAGAGCTACCATGACCACGATTCGGAAATACTTTACGTTCTGCATTCTCCTTAGGAGTTACCCATTCTAAATTAACAGCCCAATTATCATGTTTGATGCCGTTAATGTGGTTAACGTAAGGCTTATTTTCTGGGTTAGAGATGAAGGCTTGTGCAACTAAGATATGGACGCCAGTTGATGTACGAATACTATTAATGCTTAAGTCAATCCGTATATAACCACTTCTTTTGCAAACATTTCCTTTTAAAATCACACCTTTATTGTTCTTGATACGTCCAAGATTAGATATTAATTTATTCGAATCCGCTGTAGGTAACCAAATTTCCATTATTTGCTAGTTATGATGAATTATTTTTTTAAATGCTACATGATGCAGTAGTTAGATATTTATT